GGTTAGTACTCGAAGCTGACTCGAAGAAATAGCAATTATATACCTGTTGTAGTTTGTCTGTGATCCAGGAAGGGGACGCAAAAATGGTGTTAAAATCCCTCCGACATGGGTAGCCACTCGTCGCCAAGCAGATGACAACTTACGGGTAACTGGTTCCCCTCAAACATCCGACATAACCCGCTTGTTGTCAAGATGCGGGAGTCATGTGTTGAGCCAGGCCAACGTGCTACGATGTCGATGATCCGGTCGTCGCTGTCAATCACTATCTGTGTATTAATACTGTGGTAGTGATGCCTGTTAATGAATTCATTCTCATTCACGGATGGGGCCTGAATTTGAACGTGAGTGCCATCAATGACACCTACTACACCGGGGAAGTTTGCAGTCTGATAAAATCGACGCTGATGTCGTCTTATATCTTGGGCTTGCGTGGGAAAGGTGACAAATCTACGGACCATACGCTGACTTGTGAGTGATTGAAGCGTTTGTTCGATGACTCTTGAGATGGTGGGTTGGCTCAGTCCATGGTCATCGCCATTGCACATCTGAAATTTGCCAGTGGCAAGATAACGCAAAGTGACGAGCACTTTGGTAACGCAGGACACTGCACAACTCCGATGCGTTACGGGACTTAGATCGTGTTCTAGTAAATCACAGATATAAACAATACTGTTTCTGTCAAATCTGTAATTTTGTAACAGCTCATTATCATCTAATGTATGCAGAACTTCTCTTCTTTCATTAAATACTCTTGGAATACGTGTGGCAGCCATTTTGTTTCACATGACTTAAGTCAAAAAGAGTTGATTTAAGCCTACCAAGATGAGTCTTAATAGTTAAGTCAAAAAATGACAAAACTTAAGTCTAAGTCTGTTGATAAATATGACTTAAGTTTTACCTCAAAACTTAAGTCGAAAAAACGTGAAAACTAAGTTTTTTAACTGACTTAAGTTTTTTTAATGGCTTAAGTTGTTTGATAAATACGGCCCCTGGTCGTGTCTCCGAGGCGACAACAACAACCACAACAACAACAGGCAACAAATACAGTAGCAACTGCAGGTGCAACAGTTGGATTAGCGTTTTTTATTTATTTAGATGTTTTTATCTGATTCTCAAAAGTATAGCATAAATGTGTATTCGTTTTTGTATATTAATGTATGAAATGGAAACTGTATGAATCTCGTGGTGGAAGTTTGCATACACGTTCTTCGATTCATACCTGAAAGAATCAAAACATACAATCCCTGTAATGAAACTGAACATGCGAGTGACAATGCGATTGAGTCAGTACCCTTAGCAATATTCCAGCTATATGGCGGTGGTCTGCACACGATCGATTCTGGACCAGACAATCGAGTGGCCCACAGCACGAGCATCGATCTACACAATTGGGATACGATGACATGTGTCAACTAAGTCAGCGAGCCTGACCACCCGATCCTGTTAGTCGCCTCTTACGACAAGCATGGGTTACTGAAGACCAATTCTAACCCGGATCTTTACGGGTGAAAACTATGTAAAAACAATTATATGATATAAAGAAAGCAGGAACCTCAAAGATTGATAAACATTGTAGGCAAAGGAATACATAATACGGCGTGACGTGTATCAGGAGGTTGTTTAATTTATACACTTGACACGTCCACAAAGTCAGTAGCCGGTCAACGGAGTTTTGCATCAAGACTAGGTCCAAAGGAACTGCCAATCGCGTTAAGAGGCGGGAAGAGAGAGTGAGTTGGGTTTTACGCCTCTTTTAGCAATATTCTAGCAACATCACGGCGGGGGGACACCAGAAATGGGATTCACACATTGTACTCATGTGGGGAATCGAACCCGTGTCTTCAGCGTGACGAGCGAACGCTTTAATCACTAGGCTACCCCATCGCCCCAGAGGCGAGAAGAACTTTCTCAAATGAGATGGTTAAATTCAAACACTGGTTTCCCGAAAACGGGTAGACCTGTAGAGAAGAACCTAAAGACATGTCATTTGTGTACAGAGACGAGCGGATAAACACATATGCAAGCCTGCAGGCCCCGTAGGTGTGTTATTTCATTCCTTCAGGTGGTTTGAGCCATCCAGACTATGTATATCGTTAAAATGTCCTATGCAGGAAAGGGAATTGGGATTGTAAGGTATTGTCTGTCAGTACGTAGCGGTGTAAGTACATGTAGTCGCTTTAATGGCCTTGACTTCATGTTTTACAATCATTAGGAGCTGAATACAAAAATACGTCACCAGTTCAGCCAAATAAAATGCAGGTATTACAATAAAAACAACGCTAATTTAATCATGAATGAATAACGATTTATTCAACATCCCAAGGCTTAATTCTATTTCCGGTTTGGCATTGGTCTTATCAGTTTAAGTTTAATCAAACGTATACTTTCAAATTTCTTATCACGAATGAGTGAATGCACAGATATCGTTTTCATGGTTGCTCTCACTTATTACCTCCACATTCTTTTTTCCTAGTGCTGGGAGATGTGAACGTCGCCATTGGCTCTGGTGGTGGAACCATGCCTTCAGGTGAGAAGGTCATTCTGTATGGTTCAGTGATGTTAGGGAGTCGATAAGCTCTGGGAAGACATATGACAGCTGTTTCAATACTTTACAATGAGTGTAAGGGAATGTTAAGTGTTTGAGTGATAGTCGTTGATGGTATTCCACTATTTTCATGTATTTGCTTGTTGGAGATCCTAAATAATTCTAGGCAAATGTGGTATCAATCACGAGCACTATATATAATGCCAATATTAGATGATCAAACTTTCCAAGACTGGCATCTAACGAGCGAAAGTTAGATACCAATATCATTCACCAGTTTCATAATATAGTATTACACGGGACATAGTTTAGAGTTTTATTAATTACTCACCAAAATTTAGTAAAATAATATCATTCAAAGTACTTCTTTCCTAAGAATTCAACGAGCGCGATGACTCTCAGGTAAGTTTCCACATTGATAAAGCAATAAGTACTTGGATTTACCCTACATGGTTCAGCACAGAGAATGCAATGAAAAGGCAATGTGCCGACAGGCCAACAAACGTTCTGACCAGGGTATCCACAGGATTGAACAGATTATGTAAAACCAGAGGACAACAGAAACCTAATTACAGGCCAAGCTCGTTGCCAACCCAGTATCAATAGCCATTAGCTGAAAAAGCGAAATGGCTAAACTACCCAAGCTATCTACAGAAACAAGCTTACGAATGAATTTGAATATCTATGCTGCAAGTTTGAAATTAACACAAGTATTTAAGTTTTTAGTTTATTAATTTAATTTATGCTAGTTTATTATGATGAGGACTTAAAATCTAATAATATATCGTTTACAAACATACTGCCACATTACAATGGAACATTTCACCAAAATATCTATCCATATGAGTATTCAGAACGATATGGCCTGTATTCAAATAGCATTCGACGATTCCGTCTGAAATGAATCACTCACAATATCATGCATGCATGTTCCAGAAGCCACGGACTGGAAACTAGAATCGACTCGGGAAGTATTTGTACAGACAGACAATTTCAGAAAGGTGGAGTCGAAGCTGATTGAACATGGACACGTGACTATCACGGGCGCCTCAGGAGAAGGAAAGACATGCATGGCTCTGATGCTGGGTGCTAAGTACAAAAACAAAGGCTTTGAATTTGTATTTGTAGACAATATTGATAAGTTTGATCTTGCTGTTTGCGTCAAAGATGGACAACCACTGTTCATTGCCTTTGATGATTTGTTTGGAACCGGTTCATCTGCAGAGATCTCAAACCTTAGGAAGGTTCTCACATCACTTGACGAATTCATCAAACACTTGACTCCATCTTCTGAAAAGAAAAAGAAGATGACACTACAGCAAATGGAGACAGGAAAAGGTCACACACTAGGACAAAAAGGTGTTCGACCAGATCATGACATGCTTCCACAAGTAAAGGTGAAACAACATTTAAACCTATGCATTGTGTTTACGAGTAAATCATACAACTTTCAAGAAGTAGTACCTCGGCTAGGAGGACAACAGTTTAATTTTTTCAAGCCACAGACTGTTGTTGATGTGACTAGAACGCCTCTTTATCAATATTCTGTGGCCGAAAAGAAGGCAATATTTAGAAAGCACCAAAAGAGTAAGGACATGATATACAGGTTGACCTGGACCAAATATGCAGCTCCAAAGATAGCTTGTTTGGGTTTCCTATGACGTGTTCCCTGTATTTTAGCTTGCTTGACTACCAGAGTGATCCTCTTCAATTTTTCATTAAGCCTCTGACCTATTTGCGACAAGAAATTGATATGATTATTGGATCAAGACTAAAGATATCAGCGGCTCTCATCCTCATGGTCCTGTATAATGACAAGCTCGACCTGAGAAAGTTAGAGAGGAAATCGAATGACCAGCATCTTGAGGCAAAGCTGAAAGCAGTGGAAACCATTCTCCCAGGAATCACCAGGGCAGATATCTACGAATCTGCTATAAGGCTGAGAGGAACCTTTTTTCTTGAAGGAGACACAACAGCATTTTCACATCCATCAATACTTAATGCATGCTTATGCTCTGTTTATGACCTCCATCCGACTCTTGTTCTCACCAACTGCAGTATGCAGTTCCTGTATGAAAGGGTGAACCCCCACCCATTAGCCACAACAGAAATAGACAACTATACTAACATCATCTTTGTGTCAGAAACCTACTATGATATAGTAGCTGCAAGAATAGCAGAATCAGTATTAATAGGAGAATATAGATGGTCAATTTCCCACCCACTGCTACAAAATGAATCGTTTGCAAAGAAAGTTCTTGAAAATCAGAAGTTTAAAGAGTGGGTTAAGACAACTGATTTTCTTTCTCCGGATTGTGATGATAAATATTTCATCCACTGGGCAGTACTCTCAAAGAGTGAATAAGTAGTGAGGACCGTCATAAAGCTTAGAGGTCACACTTTCTCAGAGACCGAAGTCAAGGCAGCTCTTGATGCTTCAATACTGGGTGGCAGCATGGCTGGTCAGACCCCAGTCATGGTGGCAGCTATGTGTGGTCAAAAAGACGTTTTTGACTTACTGGTGTTCAATGCATGTGATCTCACCCTTGTTAATGATGAAGATTTTGGTGTGTTACATTATGCTTGTGAAGGTGGTAACACTTCTATTGTTCAACATCTTATCACAGTATGTGATATTAACAAGAAAGGGCGTGATGGTCGCACCCCAGTCATGGTGGCAGCTCGGTGTGGTAAAAAAGACGTTTTTGACTTACTGGTGTCCAGTGCAGCTGATATCACCCTGGTTGATGATGAAAATGACAGTGTGTTACATTATGCTTGTCAAGGTGGTAACACTTCTATTGTTCAACATCTTATCACAGTATGTGATATTAACAAGAAAGGGTGTGATGGCCGAACTCCAGTCATGGAGGCAGCTCTGTGTGGTCAAAAGGAAATTTTCGACATACTGGAGTCCAATGCAGCTGATCTCACACTGGTTGACGATGAAGATGAAGGTGTATTACATTATGCTTGTGAAGGTGGTAACACCTCTATTGTTCAACACCTTATCTCACCATGTGACATCAACAAAAAGGGCTAAATGGCCAGACCCCAGTCATGGTGGCAGTTGGGTGTGGTCAAAAAGACGTTTTTGACCTATTGGTGTCCAAAGCAGCTGATCTCACCCTAACTGACAACGGTAATAAGAGTGTGTTCGAGTATGCTCGTGTCGGTGGAAATGAGTCTTTTCTAATGCTATGATAGGTGAGGAAGTGACGGTTGTTAGACCTGAGCCAATTGTGGTCAGCAGAGATTCCAGTACTTATTTGGGCTGAGTCCCATCCGAGGCCGCGGTGGCTGAACGGGTTAGATGGCTGATTTGGCGTGCCTGAATTGGGACCGGATGTTACTAAACCCAACAAAAAGTACTAGATACTGTACTGAGAAAGTTTAATTCCAATATACTATTCAAAAAAAAACCCGGATAAGCCAGAAATCTGTTGCGAAAATGTTGTATTTTCAAAGATGTATAACTCGCCCACAAATTGACTTTAGTACATGAATTTTCACATCAGTTTAGGAGAGGGTAATGTCTATACAACCAAGTGGATAATTTTAGATAACGGAGACGCTGAGCGCGATGGTGCCAAGTAGCATGGTCTCAGTCCAATCTCTCTCAACCTGTTCCGTACAGTTTGACCGGGTATCCTCCAACGTCCAGGCACATTGGCTGCTGTGTTCTCACCCGTGGCAGTACGATCACGCAAATGTAGTACCCGGATGTACCGGTCTTGGGCTGCAGTGGTGACTCGAGGTCTGCCTGTATGGCGACGGTCATTTGTAATACCTGTTTGGCTGTAACGAGCTGCAAGCAGTGATATTGCGCTCAGACTAACATTCAGACGCCTGGCAACAGAAAATTGGTAATCTCCAGCGTGCATTCTTTCAATGGTGATGTTCCGTGTCGCAGCGTCAAGACGTGGCGTACTGATTTGGTCTTGAAACTCCTTCAAGACGAATGCCGATTTGAAAGTAATGCTCTTTGCTGCACACTTTCAAGTGGAAGGTGATTTCTGTTGCTTTGTGGGGAGGCTTTTTTAATTCTTGTAAGAAATCTCATCAAAATCAACATTTTCGGGTAAAGTCGATTTTTCACTTGTGCAATAGTGTATAATCATGTTATCAACACTTTTGTTACATATTTTGACGATTGTTCCTTTTTGGGGATATTATATAAAGAGTGTTCCATAGGGCCACTTTCTAAATGACATTGTGTATTAATTTATTGTTTGTGTGTTTTCATTATTCTAACACTTTCATGGTAACTGTCCCGGTGTAGAGATCGCATGAAGAGAAATGCAGGACATCAGAAGCGATTGACAGCAGTACGAGTACTGTGTCCCAATGAGGCACTCGTACTGCTGTCAATCGTTCTCCAATGTGCTTCATCATGTGGCTCTCGAGACTGAAAACGTTATGACTGCTCTGTACTCAAGCTTCTCAATGTGATTATATGTCACGTGACCGGAAACTAGCGACATGTGCATATCAGTATTACGTTTGTGTGAATGATACTCGCATACTTATCTTGGTGTAGTTTTTTGTAGAAATAGTCATGTTCATAATGCTGCATTACAAGCGAGAAAGGTTGTTTATGGTGTATCTAAATCTATATTTAAGGCCGTTACCACTTGATGAATTTTTTAATACCTATATTCCTATATGGGTCTGAAGCTTGAGGCTTTGGTAACATAAATGAGGTTGAAACTGTTCATCTAGAGATATGTAAACGTTTATTCAGTATAAAAAGGAAATCTCCAAATCACGTTGTATATGGGGAATGTGGACGTTACACCTTAAGTATCCTTATTGTTATAAAAAGAATTCGTAAATTCTGGGAACGAATCGTATCTCTGCAAGAAAATAGATATGTAAAGTTAGCATATGATATGTTATTAAAATAGTAGATGCTGGTATAGTAAATTGGGTATCTGATGTTAAACATCTGATTTATTCTCTAGGTTTCGGTTGTTTCTTTTCAGAGTTTGATTCTAGATTAAAATTTTGCTATGGGAAAAAATGACATTCTTTTATATTTGAAAGTCATAAAACAAACTTATATGCTTTTTTAAGACTAGTTTCGGGCGAGAATTGTACCTAAGTTGTGTACAAATAAACAAATTTAGGAAACCTATGGCAAGATTTAGATGTGGATCTCATAACCTTCGGATTGAAACTGGCAGATACAATAAAGAGCAGCCTGATAAGAGAATTTATGAATACTGTAACAGACAATGTATTGAAAATGAATACCATTTTTGATTAGTGTCTGATTGTCATAATGACTTAAGGATTAGATATATAGAAGAAAAGTTTTACAAGCATCCATCTTTACATAAATTTAATATGTTAATATCATCAGCAAATATTGAAGTAATTAGAAATACTGCTATGTATATTTACTATGCAAATGTGAAACGTCAGACTGCAGTGTAGTGTTAGACTGCAAGTAAGCTATAATGTCAGAATATGTGGAGATCAGGAGTTGTTGGAGTGAAAGGCTTCGTTGTATAAAGGGACAGACTGGCTGAGTGGGTATAAAGAAGGATATGTCTTGTTTATCAGTGCCGTCATTTGGAAAATAAGTCCCCAGTCTCATGTGTCTTCATGCTTGTGTGTGCGTGTGCGTGTGTGTGAGTAGTATGTTTCTTTATCTGTAGTATTGGATGCATTGTTATTTTCACAGGCATTTGGTGGAAAAATTCCTACGATCTCTAACACAGATGAGGCTTACATATTTGATCACGGTTTATAAATCTTGCATAGTTTTTTTCCCACATATCCAACACAAATTATGTATAGTTTATCTCACACGTGATCCATGTGAAATTAATCTCGCTCAAATGGCCCATGCATAGATTACCTCAAACAATGACCCATGTGTGGTTTATCTCTTACAAATGATCCATGTATTGTTTATTCCACACAAACGGTCTATGTATAGTTTATCTAATACAATGACCCATGTATATTTCATCTAATACAATGGCCCATGTATAGTTTATCTTACACAAATGATCCATGTATAGTTTATCTCATATAAATGATCTATGTATAGTTTACCCCATACAGTGACCCATGTATAGTTTATCTTACACAAATGATCCATGTATATTTTTTTAATTCACACAAATGACCCATGTATTGTTGGTTAGTAGAGTTCTAAACACACAGGGGTGAGCTTGGAGCGATTACCTTGAAGGCCTGGTGATCTCGAACAAAGGCTAGTCTATGTTTTTTTCAGGCTCAAGGTTGATACGAAACGTTTAAGTGGTAAAGAAAAGAAATAAATCTAAACTGATATTTGACATTTCATGGCATAATTTATTTGATGTCGCCACAAAGCATCACAAGATGAAACATATCATATGAAATGTATCAAACATTGATATGTAAGTGTAGTGCATGGCACTGATCGAGGGAACAAATTAATCAGTTTTACTCCCATTGATTGAGCGAACACATTAATCAGCATCATTATAATCTCAGCGAGCTAACTCAGTAAATGAACTCCGTAAATTCAAAATCATATTTGACAACATAGTTCAGAATTTTACAGCACCAGTAACATAATCCCTTATAACAACATCGGCACAACATCAAGGAGAGTATACTGTAATAACAAAAATCTACTTCACGGGAATACCCCGTATTGATTACCTCATGCCGTGACCCATTTATCGTTTACCTCATACAAATGATCCATGTACATTTCATCTAATACAAAGAGCCATGTATAGTTTATTTCATACAATGACCCATGTATAGTTTATCTTATACAATCTGCTATGTATAGTGTATCTTACACAAATTATCCATGTACAGCTTATCTCAGATAAATGATCCATGTATAGTTTACCCCCAAATAATGACCCATGTATAGTTTATCTCACATAACTGATCCATGTATAAATCAAACAATCTCAAACAAGTGTTCCATGTATAGTTTATCTCAGACAAATGATCCTTGAATAGTTTATCTCAAACAAATGATCCTTGAATAGTTTATCTCACACAAATGATCCTTGAATAGTTTATCTCACACACATGATCCTTGAATAGTTTATCTCACACAAATGATCCTTGAATAGTTTATCTCACACACATGATCCTTGAATAGTTTATCTCACACACATGATCCTTGAATAGTTTATCTCACACGAATGATCCTTAAATAGTTTATCTCATACAAATGATCCTTGAATAGTTTATCTCACACAAATGATCCTTGAGTAGTTTATCTCACACAAATGATCCTTGAATAGTTTATCTCACACAATTGTTCCTTGAATAGTTAATCTCACACAATTGTTCCTTGAATAGTTTATCTCACACAAATGATCCTTGAATAGTTTATCCCACACAAATGATCCTTGAATAGTTTATCTCACACAAATGATCCTTGAATAGTTTATCTCACACAAATGATCTTTGAATAGTTTATCTCACCAATGATTCAAGTATGGTTCATCTAACCCATGTGAACTGTATATTGTTTATCTCGAAGTTAGTTACATACAGCTACAGGTTGGCGCCTGCATATCTGCATCAGATTTTTAATGTAAACTGAATGTTTTGAGGGGTGTATTTTATTCGGATGTCTACATGTATTATCCTGTGACCAGAGAGGCTTCTGCACAGCGTCTGATTCAGATAGAGTATTGTTGAAGGCTGCAGAAGAACGTGGTCATGACCAACTACCGTCATCATCTGGGATCAGAGAGTGATGTGAGCCTTGAGTGTGGGAGGTGGGAATAAGTCTGTAGTGACGGATGTATCACTACTGTAGTCTCTGTTGACCGGTGACTTTGCGACATATTTGGACTTTCCCTATGTTTTAATGTGAACACTCTGAACAGTGACGTTCAATAGCGCTGTGTATGGTATATTCGTTGTACTATAGGGTCATTTTATTATATGGATACCGTTCTGTTATATACCCCAGCGTTGTTTATTCTATAATGTTCATGAATAATGTTATCATATACATGTATATGTTGTATTGATGTGAACAGTGAGGTTATGAATATACGATTGTGT